ACTGGAACCCATGAAATTGGGACCGAAACCGGAACCTGTCTCTTATACACATCTAGATGTGTATAAGAGACAGGAGAGAGAGAGAGTCGCTCGAGGCGGAAGATCACCTCTCTCTCTTTCTCTTCTACCCTCTGGGTGCCGATCGTTTTCTCTCTGTATGCCCGTCTCTCACAGTGCATCTCCTTCCCCCCCCTCTCTCCCAACCTTGCTCTCTCCCTCTCCTCCCTTTGTCTCTGCGTCCATGGAGCGCTTCGACTCCTTTTTGCTATTCCTGTCCTCGTCCCAAGCCCACGTGTCCCAAGCCCACGTGTCCCAAGCCCACGTGTCGCAAGCCTACATGTTCGTCCCAAGCCCATTAAGCCACGATGGATAGTCTCACGAAGCCACCTGGCAATGCCCTACCGTATCGTTACCTGGGGGACTTCGTCGCGATGCCACGTGGCTTCTTCTGACGACAGGAGATTCGCTGACCGTCCGATGAAGCGATAGGTCGAACACGGTCGTGGAATTTTTCCTACCAACCCCGTTTCTCTCTCTTTTGTTTTTTTCATTTTCATTTTTATGTTTGTTCTTTTTCTGTTTTTTAGAAATTACTTTGACCGCCATTCTTCATTTCCGGTCGTTTATCGTCGAATCTTCCAAATCAACCGAAGATGAACGACCAACGACCGGAAAGTACCAAAAGATGAACGATCAACGACCGGAAATTACGAAAAGATGGACGACCAACGACCGGAAATTACGAAAAGATGAACGATCAACGGCCGGAAGTGAACGACCGGAAATGACGGAGAGGAACGATCAACGGCCGCAAATTAACGACCTGAAATTACGGAAAGTGGAACTATCAACGACCGGCAATGAACGACCGGCAATGAACGGCCTGAATTGGGCGGCCGGAAATGATCAGCAGCCGGACATGATCAACGACCGGAAATGAAGAATGGCACCTCTACCTGGGTAGTGGGACGTCTCTCCCGTGTCTTTTTTTTTTTTTTTTTTTTTTTCTCTTTCTTATGGACTTGAGATATTGTCATTGAGCTGACCGGCCCCACGTAGGTAGGTAGGTAGGTAGTTAATTTTCAGAATTATGTTGATTGCATGCATCTGGATCCGAACTTGGGTCTGGTACTTGAACAGTTCATGGGTGCGTTGGTACCGTCGCCGTTTTTTTACGCAGATTGGAGAGAGACTGAATTCATGAGGTATTTGGACTGTTTTACGGAACATAGGGGCAAACAACGCAAAGCTGGCTTCCGCCCTCTCAACTATGAAATAAACCCTAAATGCCGCGCAGCAGATGCTAACGAGAGAAGAAATTGATTGCGACCAATCAATCAAGTCAATTGAATGAGCGCACGAAAGGAAAGGAGCTAATGTCATCAACCAATCAATCAATCAATTAGACAATCAATCAATCAATCAATCAACCAATCAATCAATTAATCAATCAATCAATCAATCAACCAATCAATCAACCAACCAACCAATCAAATGGACAATCAACCAATCAATTAATCAATCAACCAATCAATCAAATGGGCAATCAACCAATCAATTAATCAATTAATCAATCAATCAATCAAATGAAATCGAATGGAATTAGGTCGGTCGCTCAATCCCATCAATCAATCCATAAACCAATCAATCAATCAATCAATCAATCAATCAATGAAATCAATCAATCAATCCATCAGTCAATCAATCGATCAATCAATCAATTAATCAATGAAATCAACCAATCAATTAATCAATCAACTAGTCAATTAGTCAATCAAGCAATCAATGAAAACAAATGGAATTTTATCGATCGATCAATCAAAGAGATCAATGGAATTTAAGACGAATCGGTAAAATAAATAAAATAATTAAAATCAGTGATCTGTCCAATCAACTGATTCAATCAGATTAATCGCTGTTTCAGGGGGAAAAAAGAGAAATAAGGATAAGATTAATTAAATAAAATAAAAAGAAAATTATAAAGAGAGAAAAAAAGGAAGGAGAAAAGAGAGGGAAAATCAGTGAGGAAACGGACGAGTAAGTGATTAGATGAAGCGATGAACAAATGAAATAATCGAAGAACGAAAAGAACGAAGCAAATCAATCGATCATTCAATCAATCAATCAATCCATCAATCCATTGAAGTCGGGGTCGGGGTTCGGACGTTCGAGAGGTTGGGACCTGAAAAACCCTAATGGGGCAACGTCTGAAATCAACATTCCCCGATTATTTGAGAGTAGAGATCCGTCTTAATTGTAGTTGTTTTCCTTCTGCCCCCAATCAAGAGATTTTTAAAGTAATCTTTCCCAACAAATAAAGAGATTTTAAAATATATTTTTCCCCAATCAATAGATTTTCGTTAGTAGTTTTTCCTAATCGGGCACTCTGCCGACGACTATGAGCGTAGGCGGGTTAACTTTCCTATTGGGGGAGGGAGCAATCAGGGCCAACGATTGGGAGAAGTAGGGGACGATGTTTAAGCAGCCCACAACAGCACGCAATGCCGAAGAAGAGAAACACTCGCTCATCCACTCACACGCACCACACGCACACAAACACACACACACACACACACACACACACACACACACACACACACACACGCACTCACACATCACACTCTCACACTCACACACACACACTCACACTCACACACACATTCACACACACACACACTCACACTCACACACATTCACACGCACACACACACGCTCACACATACACACACACACACACACACTCAGACACACCGGTGAAAGTCCTACAAAACGGTCTGGCACAGTCGTGCTGTTGGTGGTGGAGTCGTATACACTCAGGCGAACATGACAACACACTTGCGCACACAGTTCACACACACACACACTCACTCACACAGACATTTATAAATACTAAATAAAATATAAGGACAAAAAAATACACATCCACGGAAAATTCGGTATTGGTTGGGAGAACTGAGCGAAAGTTCTGTAAATATTTAATAGCTATTTGACTTAATTTTTAAATTATTATAATAATGATTTATTCTCCTGATAGGCTGTGGGAAGAATGAGACGAAAACCTCAACTGTCCTGTGATGGGCTGATAGCACGGGGGGCTGGGGGAGGGAGGGGGGGGGTGGCGCGTATGGTGTGCGAAAAACCGACTAAGGGGAATAAATGTGTGAAACGTCTGGTGGTTTTCCACCCATCGATAGGAAAAGGAGGTGTCATCAACAGAAAAAAAAACATCAAACATTGGGATATGGTCCTACCATCCTGAGTAAATGATATTTCTTTTCTGTTGATGACACCTCCTTTCCCTCCTCCCCCACTTTCCCCCGTGAAAAAAAAATTCCAGTAATTAACTCTGCAATTAGCGAATACAGGCGACTAGTTAGTGTATTGTGCAATTGCGCGGCCACCGATCATTTGCAAACGCATGCCTGGCTTGACCAATTATTATTTCCATCCATCCATTCATTAAATCAATCAACCAATCAATCAATCGGATGAATCAAACCAATCAAAACAATGTAAGCAATCAAATCAATCAAACCAATCAAAACAATGTAAGCAATCAAATCAATCAAACCAATCAAAACAAGAAAATCAATCAATCAAGATATCGAGCTCTCACATCCTGATAGGCAGAATAATATAACCTCAAGAGTTTCCTCCATCCCTCCACACCCCTCCACACCCCTCCACACCCCTCCACACCCCTCCCCACACCCCTCCACACCCCTCCACACCCTCTACTCGTCCACACCCCTCCAACCCCTACCCCTCTAACC